CTAGCTGATGTGGATTACATGGTTGCTATGAAAAGTATTGGCTTATGTGGTTCCTATGTGGAGCACCAGGTTTGTGGATTGTATAGTTGCCAAACAGAGTATCAGCTCTTGTTGATTGTATGGTTGCTACATAGGGTATTAGCTCAAGTGGATCATATGGTTGCTTCATAGAGCACTTGCTCATGTGGATTGCATGCCTTGACTCCCTTGACAATCCTTGTGTTGCTTGGTATTGAGATATTTACACATAGCAGGGAGTCATTTGTATGTATGCATAATATGTAATCATTTGTATTCACACATAATAAGGAGCCATTTGATGGAATGATATCTCACACAAGTTTTTTTTTATGTCTTGAAAGTCTGTCTATATGTCTGATAATTGGAATCCTCCAGATGAAGATTTTACATAATGCACACACACACACACACACACACACACACACACAGACTAGGAAACAAGCAAAGAATTTTTTTGCATTTTGGTCCATTAAAACAAATTTTACCTTTGAACAAGTATTTACAGACTAGAAAGAACACCTTCTAATAGAGAATATGTGTATTCATTCTAGGTATGGGAAGTAAGGAAGCTTTTGAACTTGTGCAACACGGCTATCGAATGCCAAAACCAGAACTGTGTCCGACAGAAGTGTACGATGTGGTATTGACATGTTGGAGTCTCAGTCATCAGTCACGTCCCTCTTTTGACTTTCTCAACACTTTTCTTCATGACTGGCAAGCACCATCATGACAGAAGCAATGCAAACATTAGAGGGATAATGTATAACTGATTCATGGAAAGTAACATGAAGAAGACGCAAATTGCTGCCTGCCCATATAGCATTGGCATTATTTCCATTGTTGTGGTAAACTGTCCACTGTTACTAGATGGGCAGTATAATCCACCAGAAGTAAACCTTGTTTTACTATTTTTCTGTGTTCATGCCAAGCTGCTGCAGATTCTAAGTGAGAAGAGTGGATGGAATGCTTTCTGAGGTAGTTAGGGTTTTGCAAGTGCTTTTGTAATTAACTCTGGAGGATACTATTTAACTTTGAAATGATGAACTAGTATGTCCTAAGGTCAGGCTAATTAATGTTCTTGGAATATAGGATGTCAGGAGTGCTGGAAAAATTACATGCAGGATGTGATTGATGATCAAGATTCCTCATGGAAGACCTTGAATGGCTCTCATAGTTAAAGGGAGACAACTCCAGTCATCAGTACTAAAAAATGTTAGTCGTTGGTGCCAAACTGTTGTCTACAAACATCCATTTGTGAAGCAGCTCCAATATTATGTATCCAATAATTAATATTAAAACATATCAGCTGAATTGCTCTTAATCCCTACAAAATGGCTTTCAGAACCAGAGGACCTTATTAAGAACCACAGCATGGATTTTATTCTCACCATTATTAAGCAACTAATCTTGTGTCTTTTTACCTATCCGTATGTTTGGCTTAGTATATCACGGCAAATAAATGTCAAGCTATTCACAACTGCATTAAGGCTTCTACATTTACATGTGTTTACTGCTGCCTGTAAATGTTTACAAATAGTTAAATTTTTGGACATAAATGCACCTAGCTTTTAGTAAAGCAGGCATCCTGTTAAATTTAAACAATATATTTTCACATCTGCTGTGGATGACGGCAAAGCTATTGTTTTCTTAAAGGATGGATGATTTTCAAAAATTGAGTGTGACATCACTAGGAAAAAAGTAGATTTCAGGTTTGTAAGCCACTGTGGGTTCGTATCATCAGTGTAGATCCTACAAAATATCCTATGCATGTTTCCAGGCTTTAGCTCCAGTCACACTGTCAATTTTTCATTGTGCACACGATATTATAAAGATGATCATAAGGATGCTTTTCCTTAATTGGAAGTTACATTCAGCAGAGATAGGTCTTTGAACTGAATCATATGAAAACAAATAAGAAGGGCATAGAGCAATTAAAATAGCTGTAAGTTGAATAACATATGGCATACACATTTTCAATGGTGTGCATATAAAAATCTGTCTAGCTCTAAGCTGAATGTGTTAACTGGTGGAAAGCTGAGCCCTGAATCACTCTGATGCATTGTTTTGGTTATTGCATACAATGTTCATGTTTATAAATTTGGCAAATGTTGTATCCTTACATTGCATGTTGATCTTTGATTTTTTAGTTTGTAAAAAGTTTAGTATTGAAGGCCATGTTCTATTTATTGAATGAAACTTGTAAAGTAATTGGCCATTCGGTTCAGAAGAGTGGACAAATTTCTGAAATAAGAATATATTTGAAGTCTAACCTTGATATTGTGATAGTGTTCATATAATTCTTCCTTAGTGATCATGTGCTAATTTTCATGCTTGTTTGAGACTTAGACATTTTTACTTTTAATTCACTGATGGGGAAAAGAAAAAAGATTATCACATTTACTTGTTTACAAGTAAGTTCCAACTGCAGGTCGCAAAGACCCCGATTGTGTGGTATGCAGACTGTTAGGAGTTGTCAGTAGAACAAGTGACATAGACTGTGATCTACTGGTGCATTATACAATAGCAGATCGGAGTTTGTTATTTGCAGTTAGATTGTACTTTGTCCGTACATATGGTATATAATTGTTATTTCATCCACATTTTTTAAATGCAAAATTCTATCATGACATTTTGTTTTCAGTAAAGCAAATATTTGACATGTTAGAAGAGTCATATTCTATCCTTATTTCATTGATTTTAACACAGTAGTGTATTACATCATTGGTGCACATAAAGTTACTTGCGTAGAAAATTCATTCTAAAAAATGGATATTGTAGGGTCTTCATGTCAATAGTTATTAATGCAAATTTTTTTCTGCTTACAGAATTGGTCTCTTCTGAAAGTTTGGGTATTGGTTAAATAGTTAAATGTCCAATTGAATTTTAATTGATTTATTTTGTGGATTTTTTAAAAAAAAATTACATTTACAACCAACCAAACATTTTTACTGCTTTGACACTAAATAAAAGAAAGGATTAAAAAAAAGTTTTTTTATGCAGATCAAGAGAGTTTTAGTCCTTTGGAAATTTGTTATTTAGCTGTATTGTATAAATATTATGAAGAAAAAATCTTATTTTTGTTCTGGCAGAATAACTGAAACTGAAAATATTTTTAATTATTGTGAAATTGATGACCTTATTGTTCATTTTATTTTTACTCTTGGACTGGATTTTGCAGATTTGTTTGTTGGATCAGTGTAAAAAACTGAAAAGCAGACTTCAGTTTTGTTGGTAGTTGCAATTAAATAAACTTCTTGTCATGCAATGATCTAAATATTGAACTAATTTTCATCTTAAGATTAAATTGTTTTGTTGAATGTTTTAAAGAAGAATCATGCTGTATATGTTCCTTTTCTTAAACAAGTCCAGTACATTTGCACAGAACAGGCTAGATGTTGCATAATTTTCCATCAGAGCTAGACCCCAACAGTTTGTTAGGAGAGGAGCAGTCAAACAACATACACCCTGACCTGCTGGCACATTATGCTTTGGCATATGTTAGGATAAATGTTGTTTGCAGTTGACCTACAATCTATTTTAATTGTAGTCACTGTGCCTTATAATCCATTTAACTATGATCAACCTGTGTACAGTGCATTGAATTTTAAACATTTACCCACTATTTTGAATCCAAATGTTTTCTAGCTTTTTGTTTGTTTTTCTTTCATAGACTATTTTGTTTCATTTCCTGGCTTGTAAGTACATGATACTGTACATTCAATACAAGTCTTATTGTGCCTTTCTGTTCACTGTCATTTATTACATGTATATAAGGTATAAATATAAAATACTTGGATGTATATAGTTCTTGAGCCATAATACTTACAGATGTACAAATTGTACAGAGAACAGGGAGGTACCCATCCATCTGTATAAAGAAGGTAATTAATTAATGAAGGTAATGTGTGTTTGTGATTTGATCAGTTATGTATTGGCTGTGTACTAGAGGTCTGTTTTTATTGACTGTGTTGTATGACTGAACGAGATTCATCACCATTCCCTTTTAAATTTTCTCATCTTCATAGCTGGATTGTTTTTTTTAGCTGACCTGGCTTGAGGCCAGGTAATTGCTGAGGTAGGTTTCAAGTAAGGTGAACAAAGAGCATGGCCCTGTGTCCATTGTATGTTGTGGGCCCATCAACAATTGCTATTTTAAACTAATGCTACAAAACCAGTTATCACTTCTATTGCTGTAGATTATCCAGTCATAAAAGGTTTTAAGATCGGTACATGTGATGCAAATTTACAAGCAGATTTTACCACAATTGTTAAAAATAGTAAAATCCAGTTAAAAACAGCTAACTCAAAAATCACAGAGCAGAATTTGATATAATTTTAAGTACAAGCATCAAAGCTGGAAGACCTTCAATGGTTATATGTACCATGCCTTTGATTATGGTCACTGTTTCTGGCTATATAAAAGCCAGTATTACTAAAAGCAGAACACTTTTCAGATAACTTTTTTCCAAAAATGCTGAATCAAATATAATTGTCACAACATTGCAGAAAGAATCCTGTCAGGAAGACATTCCAAATATACACAAACAAATAGTCTGCTATCAAATATGTCTGCCATTACTACAAATAGTAAAACCTTTGAATGACTCCACCCCCCCAAATATCAAATAGAATTTAATCAGACTACAGGGAGCATCATAGCTTGAACTCAATGCACATTAGGTTAAACAAATGAAATATGGTTGCAATAAAACAGCTTTTTTTTCTCAAAAAGTGATTATGTGATGTGATTATGATTTTAACGTAGCTTTTAACAATTTTTCAGACATATTGCTACGATGTCTGCTTGGTGGTAGTTTAAAGTGATGTCTAGCACTAGGGCATCATGCCACAGATATGTAGCATGATGTCCCACCCAATCACATTATTTTGACACCAAGCTGACCAGTCCTAACACAAATCTCTTTATACTGAGCACTAAGCAAAGAAGTTGCTAGTACCAGTTTTGTATGTCTTTGGTATGACTCGACCGGGGATCGAACCGACGACCTCACATCCAAGGCGGAAACTCTAGCCACTAAGCCACCCGAGCGGGTTCTCAAAAAGTACTTACAAAGTTTGAATAAATGTGACAGACAGCATCTTAAAATAGAGCACTTTAAAGTTTTGACAAAGTTTGTTTATGTTTGACAGAAAGCATCCATGCATTAAGGCCTTCAGAATTTTGCAAATGTTGCTTGATTTGTCATCAAATATGGCTGCCATTTCCAAAAAATATAAAAATCTTGAAACTTCTTGACAGTAGATTTTAATGAAACTTTACAGAAAGCATCCTGATTTGACAATTGTTTTGGATTTGTACTCTAAATAACGATCTACTGCCATCAAATGTGTTCACTGTTACCAAAATTAAAAAACAGAATTTGCTTGTCAAAAAAAATCTACTCTTTGAATTGATAAACTTTGACAAATGTATCCTGTCATAAAGAGCTTTTTAAAATAAGCATCCGATAGATACTGATTTCTTGTCTTGACTTTTAGGCACTGTCATAAAGGGCTTTTTAAAAAAAGCATCCAATAGATACTGATTTCTTGTCCAGTTGCATTTGACTTTTAGGCACTGTCAGCTAGGTGAGCAATCTTGTTTTTTTCATGTTCATGTCAGAATTGTTTTGTGTGCCACTTAACCTATGTTTAAGAATTTTTTCTTTTTGGTTGTGCAATTGCTTTTTAAGATTTTTTTACTTCCCAAATGTGTTCATTAATTGTCGGCCACAAAGTGTTTTCTTTAAAAAAATTTCAGGGAATTATTCATTCAGGTTTTTGATAATTAGCTGATCCTAATTCCTAGCCAAAAACAAAAGTTTCATAATTTCAGACAAAAATTCATTCAATATTGTAAATGAACACATGGACTTAACTAATTTTCTTAATTGATGATTGTTTGAAATGCTGTTATACACGTCTGAGATTTTTAAGCTTGTATTTGTTATAGCATTTCTGTCCAAACTTTTGGGAATTGGGAGTTTATTGGCATCCAGTGGCAAAGAAAATTCATAAATAATCTAGTCCAGCAAAAACAAATGAATGATACTATGTGTCTCTTATTTCAACTTGTTCTGAAGTCACTGTTTGCATGTCTAAACAATGTCATTTGTTTACATGTCCATGTTGTTACTTATATGTCCATGTTGTTTCTTATCACTGCCAATGTAGCATGTTTAAGCAATTGTAATATTACTTTTGTAAATAGAACTTTACAAGAAATAGTGTTCTGAATGCACAAAGGTGTATAGAATCTCACACTTCAGATTTAAGTTATTCAGGGTCTAGAGGGTTAAGAGGTCAGAAGTAAAGGTTATCTATATTGACCTGTCAGATTTAAATATGATTTGGAACCGCTAAATACCAAAGTTCCTTTTCATGGAATATATTTTAGTTTTGAATGTTCCTCCATTTTCAGAGGCTAGTTTGTAATACTAACTTTATTGTTATGAGAGAAAACAGTAAATCCAAGAGTTACTGGTTTTAACAAAATTTAGTGTTTATATTTTCTCTGTATTTCCTCTTGAATGATTCATCTATTTCTTTGTTATTTTCTGTTGCATTAAAAACTTGGTAAATCTGAAAAGATTACTTCTAAAATAATTAAACCCTTTAATTTACAATAGGAACCTAATTTGAGTTGGTTGACATTTTGAAGGAAAGAGAGTTAAAAATTCATTAAAAGTAAGTTGATAATGATTTAAAAGCATTACTGTATGTAGCCACTGAAGATTATTCTAAAAATAATCTTTTAGAAGTTCGAAGTTTTTGACACATTCAGATATCTGGATAAAGTAGGGTATCTTCAAAAAAATTCTAGGGGGAGATAATTATTATTATGAATATTTTTCTCCTAATCTTTATGAAATATAAAACCATACTACTGACACCTTAAAAAGCATACTATTGTCACCTGAAAAACCAATGAACAAACACTAAAAAACCATGCTGTTGACACCCTTATAAACCATACTATTGACGCCCTAAAAAACCCACTTTTTATACTTATAAACCAAACTATTGACGCCCTTAAAGACCATGCTATTAATGTTGTTAAAAACCATTATATTGACACCCTTTTTAAAAGCCCATACTGTTGACACCCACCCTAAAAATAAATTTTGATACACTTATAAACCAAACTATTGACACCCTTAAAAACCATGCTATTGATGTTTTTAAAAACCATTATATTGACACCCTTTTAAAAAAACCCATACTGTTGAAACTCTAATAAACCATAGTATTGACACCCTAAAAATAAATTTTGATACACTTATAAACCTTAAAAATCATGCTATTGATGCTGTTAAAAACCATTATATTGACACCCTTTTTAAAAGCCCATACTAATGACACCCTTCTAAACTGCACTATTAACACCGTTATAAGCCATGCTGTTTACTTCCTTAAAAACCATATTATTGACACAAAATAAACTTAACACCCTTATAAATCATACTTTTGATTCCATTACAGACCATAATATTAACACCCTTAATAAAATATAATGTTCACACCATTATAAACCATAATATTGACGCTCTTATAAATTATACTATTAACACCATGCTCTGCTTAGTTCTGCATATTGAAGTGTTTGCTAGTTCTTGAAAGTGTTTTTCAGACTAATATTTTTATTTTTTGAAAGCTTTTGGTTGCAAGATGAAACGATATTCAACCACATTAATTTTCTCTTTTGCTTTATCAGTTAATAGTACTTTTATATTAAATCACTTGACATTATCAGTGACTAAAACTGAACATTTTTTAAAAAAATGTTGCATGAGACATCAGACTGATTAAAACAACCTTTATTCTTGGCCATGATAAACTGATGGCCAAAAATGTTTGCACAATAAATTAGGATTTTGTTTGCATGCACTTAGCATCATGATAATCATTTTGTAACATCAAGATCGATTCTTAATTGAAAATCTCTTTTTTCCAATTGAAAAAAGGTAAATATAGGGGGCACTTAATGAACTTTTAATATTCAGATGTTGAACCCGACTTTCATGCATTGGGTTTTTGGTTTCAGCCACATTGTGAAGCTAAGTGAATCCAATCATTCATCTTTGAAAAGACACTCTAATGTATATCTTAGGAGATGTGAAATGCAATTACAACTTGGACACATGACTAATTTAAAAATAACCACACACACAAACTCAAGATATTGAACATGTCAATGTGCAGTCTCAGAATGTACAAATCTGATAAATCTAAACTCGGTAAAACTTGTAGTAATGTCATTCTCAAAATGGTGCCACAATTTCCTTTTACTAGCAAGTATATACAGAATTTACATTTTAGAAAGACATGACTAACTTCTCAACACCAATATGTACAAGAGCATCCAATGGGATTTCTTGAATGATCTGAAATTGAATTGTGTGTTGACTAGTTTAACACTGTTCGTTGTCAGTTTATTGTATGTATGTATATATATATATATATATATATATATATATATATATATATATATATATATATATATATACTGCAGATATACTTTCAATTCAGCACCAACAAAAATATGCTGCATCTAATTTGGATGCAGAATTGTGCCATTTAGTTTTTCGAATTACCTCTGTGAAGACAAGCTTTTCTCACCACATTATAACTTCTGTGTATATTAGATGTGGATTAAATATTTTGGGTAGCTTTTTCCAGGCTGGCTTACTTGACAGAACAAAATCTTGTAGAAATCTGTTATGTTCAGGGTAGACTTATTCCCAGTGTCACCTTGTTTTCAAGATGGACTTAATCTCAAGGTAGTCACATGTTCAGAGTGGGCTTATTCTCAAGGTCAGCATAATTACTTTTTTTTTTCGAGATACATAACCTGATAGAAATGTTGTTTAATGTTAAGTGTTAAAAAAACTTTTATTACAAATATTTTTTTTTTTTTACCTAGGCTGAATGTTAAACATATACCGTGTAAATATTACAGACAGAACTGTAGCAAATTAAACCACAGTTTGACTAAGTTGTCCAGTTAGATGGATCTAGTTGAACATTTGTGTTATGTTTTTGTTTTACTAGTTATTAATTTACTTAATTAAATGCTATACGTCTTTAACTCCATTCTATTCAGCATGCCATTGCTGTTTTTTGTCATGATGACATTCAGTAAAATAAAGAAATCAACTGTAGCATCATTCTTGCAATGTGTCTATTTTCTTTTTCTTAAATACTTTTTTAGTAGCATGTTGTAAACACCATCATGGAGTTCATTTTTTGTCACTTTATATTTTCCCATCTGTGTCTCTACCTATCTGATTATCAGAGAGAGAGAGAGAGAGAAAAAGAGAGAGAAGCAGCAACAAACCAACCCCTTCAAAAGTTGTCGACCTTGAGGCCCCCCCCCCTCACCAATCAAGGGTCAATTTTACAATCCAGGCTTTGTAATAGTGTTGATTTTTCCTATGGTAATGCTGACTTTTTAGAAACCAAAGGCCAATTCAAGCCTTGTATAAAATAGCAAAATGGAAAGACTGACCAAGTTGATTGGCCATGAATATCTATTGAATCTCTTTCTTCGGTAATTGTTATAGCTTTAGTTTTTCATTGTATGTAAACATCCGCCCAAGGTGAATCGCAAAGTGCAAAGCGTAATATTAGAGATTCAGAAGGCTGTCCAGGCAGAATATCAATTTTGTAATGAAGCACCCACCCACCCCAGCTAACCCCGGGTGCTAGAAAATGAACACCCTTATTTGGGTTTAGTTGTCCTTTTACATTCATTGATATATCATCTTTTTCCAATTGGTTGCACGCCCCAACCCCACTAATAATTTATTTATAACACCGACAATATCTCAGTTGTTTGTTCATGGGATCGAGCATGAAGTTTCTACAGTTCAGTCAAAATATCATCCATACGCGCTAACCACTATAGTCCACAGGTGCTAAACGGGAGCTTGATGTTAAGAAAAAAAAAACAACAAACAAAATAAAAATCTGAAGGAGAAAAAAAAATCAGAATGACAAAAATACCTCAGATACCCCCATCTCCCGTTCTGACTTTGGACACTTTCTATC